ATAATGAGTTGGCAAATCGAATGTCTTTGTTTTATGCTGAGGCCACCCCAATGCTGAAAACCTTAAGTGATGCAACAACAAAATTTGTATCAGAGGTGAGTTGCCGCAGACCTTTCTCTGCACCGGTGCTGTTCTGCTCACTGCATGGGCACAGCTGCCCACTTGCTTGCAGTCAGTCTGGAGGTCTTGAGTCCTGCTGTGATGCCATTGCCTTTGCTGACGCTCCCTGTCTCCTGTTCTCAGTCTCCTGTTCTCAGTTGACAATGGCACTGGTACAGTCACAATCTCGGGGATGGTCTTTAAGTTCCTTCTTGCGTTGCTCTCCACTGTTCCACAGTTGACTCTGCTGGATCCTCTCCAGTTCATCATGCTTATGAAAAGTTAACCCTGCTCCTGCGACATGCAGGATCAGACTGCCACCCTCTTATCTACTTTTATTTCTGCACTTGTTCTTCTCGTTAGAATGTTTCCCGTGGCCTGGAGAGATGGCTGCCATCAAGCCTGATGATTTGAGTTTGTAGACTAGAACAGGTTCTCTGCTGACCCCCACACTTACACCATGGCACAAGAGAGTACCCACATACCATCGATAAAATGTAATGAAATAAATGAAACTTGCCAGTCTCTTAGCCCCCTCATCTCCTGCATTTACAAGATTGTACAAGGTTAATTTTGCTCAGCTAATAGCGATCTCTCTTCAGGACTGCAGAGTCTTGGCTGTTCTGTGTCTGGCTTTGTCCCCTCATCATGGAACAGTGATTATAATCACGGTCATTGGCTTAGAGAATTAGAAATAGAAGTCAGATCATTTGCTTGTTTGGGGGATTCCATTAAGTTTTAAATTATTAAGTGACAAGCATTACACCTTTACTTACTTCTTTTGTTCTCTGTACACTTTGTAGAATAAGAATTTACCAATAGAAAACACCACAGACTGCTTAAGCACCATGGCAAGTGTATGCAGAGTCATGCTGGAGACGCCGTGAGTATTAGCCCATCTTTCTCTTCAGCAAGATATCCAAATACAAACTTGTCTGTGAGGAAAGAGAAATGAAGTTTATGCTAACCATCAAATGCTGAATGTGGGAATAAAGTCAAAATAACTTGTCAGCCTAGTGCGTTTCTTTTTGGATTCTGAGTACCCAGATAACTTTATTCTCATCCGAACAAGAATTGCATGATTCCCCCTCAGAGGGCTATAATTATATTCTGTTTACCACATGCTCTTACCTATTAGTTCCTGAATTATCTGAAGGCGTTTGTAATACATACAATTTTCCTATCAGCACCAGAAAGAATGTATCTTGGAATCTTTAATAAGATATGGTTTTTACTAGACAACTCACTTCCCAAAGTGTTCTTGCATACACTGTGTGGAGCAGAAGGACAGACACCTCCCACTGTTTTCTCCTGTGTAAGGGAATGGGGCCAGGAAATGCAGAGGTGCATGGTGCCGACCACCCTCTGCTGGGTTACAGTGTCCCCATCCCAACCACCCTCTGCTGGGTTACACTGTCCCCACCCCGACCACCCTCTGCTGGGTTACA